TAAGCTACACTTAACTGTTTATCACTACAAAGCTTCCCTAGTGTCTGATCTTCACCTCTTCTGATGCTATCTAAGATGATTAGTTCTTGTCCTAGGCACAGAGAACATGGAGAACCAGCTACTCCCTTCCTATTTGCATGAGGATTTGCTTCTGGTTTTCCTAATTTTTTTTTTTTTTTTTGCATATTTGAAGACTTTCTGGCTATTTTTTTTTCTTTTAATGACAAAATAAGTATGTATATTTCTCAGTCACTCCTTACAGGTGACGCTCTCTAGATCTCTATGGATGACCTGCTCATTTCACACTTGGCAACAAATTATATTGCCAGAATAAAGACCACAATAACCCTAAACATTTAGTGGGGTCATTAGAAAGAAAAAGAATGATCTATGTAGCTGCTCTCCCTCTGGCATAGCCAGACTCCCCATTCCAGCAGGCAAGGCTGTGGTTAGCCTCGCTTGGCAGAGCAGGTCACTCCCAACCTGCAGATGGAGTTGTTGTTTTACTCCTTTAACTGCTGGGAATGGGCCCTTGGCCACACAGAGACGGAGCTGCAGGGACACTGCCCTGACCTGGCACCTCCCTAAGGGTCTGACAGAAGCTGTGCCACTTCACCACCGGGTTCATTTTCATAAAGTTAGCAGGTGCCCAAATGTCTGCAAAATCCAGAGTAAGGTACCTTTGGACTCTCCACCTTTTCAAATAATAGCTGCATGTGTACGTTTGTACTTCACTGTGCACTAATGCCTACAATAATCTGCAGTGAGAAATCAACTCTCTCTCCATGCCTTGACTACGGCAGTGCCACCTATAAAATCCAGTCATATTTAACGGAAGAAAACCAACGTCAGTGCTACAGCCTGCCTGTCCTCTATTAGGACATGTTTAATTATGTCTTGCTTTCTCTGTGCAGGAGGATAAGTGAGCAGGGAAGAAAACGCTGTGTTGTTGCTCCTGAGCAGCTGATGAGGAGTAGCTTGCACAGAGGTGAGTACATGTCTCTGTTGGAAACTAATTCAGGAAGGTAGCAGTAGAGCGCTCTGCTCTGGACCAGTAGCAAGCCTGACTCACAAAATGTTCTCTGTTAGAGACTAGGCAGTTTACCTATTCCTGAAACCTTTGTATCAAAAAGTCTACTGCAAATTCAGACAAGCAGCGAGGTTCCCACAGTGTAGGAGGCTCTGCGTCTGCAGCTTGAGAGCACAGCAAGACAAAAGCGGAGGGGATGGTATATTGTCTGGCTCCTGCTGTTTGTGCAGACAGATGTGCTCACTGACTGCGTACGATTCGATTACTCAACGATTTTACTGGACCATGTGAGCTGAGCTAGCATTTGCCTTGATGTGTCATATCATCTCTCCTCCCATTTGCTGCGAGTGCTGCTGTGTTGTGACTGTCCGGTGTCGATGTGTTTGCCTGGGAGCTCCTGTTTCAGGTAGGCTTGTATTTTCTTCTCTTTGAATAGCCAGATTATGGCTAGCTGGGAAGTGCAGGGATGCCAGGGGCTGCTCTGAACAGGAGAAAAAAAAAGGGAGGGCAGAAGAGAAGAGATAGGAATAAACTTTAACTGCCTTTGTGCCAAGACTGCTTTCTTTTTCCCCATGTTATACAGTATGTATATACCTTCCAGCTCAGGCAGGGCATGTAACGTACACATTAGAGAAGACTGCTTTCAGGCAGGGCTGCTCCAAGAGGAGGGATTTGGGGAGACCATACACATTGCATGGAATCCTGGAGCAGCACAAGCCCAAGGCAGATTCATTTTAGTGCAAGAAGGTGTGAGGGAGGAGGAGATCCTCTACCTGGGCACAAAACAGTGGACTGTGGCTACCTGCATTTCCTAACCAGAAAATCCACACTGAGAAGAAATTGTTTGCTTGTAAGGCCTTGCTGTGATTTTAACAGCGGTGCCAATTCACACTGACAGCCTTGCATGCAAGGGTCACGAAAAGGAATATCATCATACAGATGGTTTTGGCCTAACAATAGAATAGAAAATGCCAAATGACTTCAAATAGACATGAAAAGTATAATATTTGTCACTACTGACTGAGGCCAAACAGGAACTCAAAATCGATCTGCAAAGCCTGTCCTGACAAATTAGCTGAAACCAATTACCTGTGTTGATTAAAGCCAGGAGCAGTTTACTGAGTACTAACTATATTGCTAAGATGATATCCTTGCTGTCTGGAAAGCTCTGTTCCCATTCATCCACAGGGAAGCCATTTCAATTGCAAATCCTACTGCGGAGTGTGTTTCTGCTACAGGAGCCACACCAAAAGCTCCTCTCATACTAAAATGAAACTTGTTACAAGGCAGGTCCGGGGAACAATAAAAAGGAGTTGCACTGCAAGTCTCAGGAGCAGTTTTAGTTCTACCAGCCTAGACCCCTCTTACGCAGCCTATGATTAACAGCATGGTATATTTGATCTCCTTCTTATCTTTTGTCCAGTAGCTCTGGTTTTGCATCCAATATATCAATATATTCTGAGGTCCAGTATAAACCATGACAGGAGAAGCTATGGGCATCATGATGTCTCTTGCCACCTTGCTGCTTTTCCACTGACATTTGCCATAATATGGTTCAGTTTGACACCTAGATTTGGCTTCTCCCTGCATCTGAACTTCAGATGAGTCTGTAAAATCTACAGCTCACCAATACCTGAGAAAGAGTTTTTCCATTGAGGTGGCTCATGTGATTTGTACACTCCATTTCTTCATCTCCCTGCTCTTTTTTTTTTTTTTTTTTTTTTTTTTTTTGGGTGTGGGTGTAATTTCTGCCTGTAATCCAAGGCACGGATCTTATTTCACAAAGTTCAGCACAAGGTAGAACCATGGAAAAAAAGGAAAAAAAAACAACCAAAAAAACCCCAACCCCCAAAAAACCCAAAACCCAAAGGTTTTGAGAGCTTGGTTTTCCACAGCAACTATTTGCATGCAAGTTGTCAGGTTTTCAAATACTAACTGTTCCAGAGAATTGAGGCACTAGGGTTAAGAAGTAGCATCAAGCATGCAGCCTTCTTTCTCCAGACACTAGTAATACCAAAAGATCACAGTTAGTCTGGATTGCTGCAAGGGTGTTGCATCAATATCTATGCAAGAAAAAAAACCCCAAAGACGCCAAGGAAAAGTTAAATCTTGCATTTTGCTCCTATGCTGAGCAAGCCTATCTCTTGTTTTCTGCGTGCTGCTTACTTGTTTGTTACAAACCATAGCAGTAATGCAAACTGCAGCACCTAACAAGTCTCTGTGAACACACACACACACACGCACATATATAAAGATATATATATTTTAAGTTCTTAAAAGTCTTCTTAGCTGTGTAGTAGTTTACACAGTGCCTAAAACAGAGTTTTTAAAATATCTGGGGAGAAAGCTTCAAAGGCATGTAAATGCTTTCTAGGATCTCAGCTTTTGATACTTTGGAAAAGCTGCCTGTGCTCTCTGCTCCCAACTAAGACTTCCCCAACGTGATCCTGGCTCCTGAACCTGCTCCCAGTTTTCCTCCTTCCACCTTTTCCTAACTCCAGATGGATGGAGGTCTCATGTTAAGACTATGGCACAGGGGAAGAAAATTTGGTCTTGCAGACAGCTGGCCCAGTGAGCAGGTGAGAAGATTTTGAACAAAACAGTCTATGGATTGCAGAGAGGAGAGCAAGAGGCTGCTGGCTTTATCATCGTCTGTGGGGATGACAGTTTGCGCTACTGAAGTGTCAGTTGTCAAGTTTCTCTACTGCTCCTCTCCTCATTACAGCTTTTGACTGTACCTGATGGGTTGAAGTTACCCCTTGCAGCCTTCAGCCTCTGAACGGAGACTCCCGGAGGGTGTGTGGGGCCAGGATGGGAGGAAAGTGCAGCTTCTGGGAGGGACCAGCCAGTGCCTGAGGTGGCTTGTCTGCATGAGCTGGAAGGTAGGTGGTGATATTTCTGCTTTTTTTAGCATGCTGGACTGCCCAGTCAAAACATTTATTGGTGTAATCTCAGATCATCTGATATTGCCTCTGCATTACTTCATGTCAGAGCAAAATAACATGACGTTGGACAAAGTTTATGTGCTCCAAACGTGCTGTCTCAGGGCAGCAGATCCATGTGAATAGACTCAAGAGTTGGAAGAGTGAGAGTTACCAAGTATTTTACTCAGTGAGAGCCACACCAGAAGCTCCTATTGCATAAACATGTTATACCAAATGCATGCACAGTTCTTAGAAACAAGAATGTCTCCTCAGAAAGCCTGAGATTAGCTTAAGTAGTTTAAATAGCAGGTTTCGCTAACTCAGTTCCTTGTGTCAGTTTTAAGCCCAGAGCTCATTACAACTCCCTCATGACTCTTAGCAGAAACTATCTGGCAGATTTCAAGTTAACAAAGAAAACATTGCTGCAAAAACCTGAAGGCTCTGACATAACTCTGCACAGAGAAGACTCTCCTGCTTCTCATATGTGAGTGTTGGTGGCCTTACACAATAGCACAGTGTGCTGAACAAGCCTTTCAGAATTCTGAAGCAGCATGACTGATACGCTTGGGTGATTAAAAAAAAAGTTCCTGTAAGTAAAAAAAATAGAATGATACAAGATATAAATATGAGGTTTTCCCATCACAGGGTGGCACGCACAGGAAGTTTTACAGCTCTACGATATATGCAGGGAGAGTTGGGATGGAGAAGTCAAGAACATACCCATAAATTGAATTCAGGGACACTCTGAAATATGTAGTGCTGGCTGTTCATTGCCAAACCAGTGATTATGCAACGTGTCTGTTTAATCTTCAGGGTGCTGTGGAGCAGCTTCCATCTGCAAGTTGTTCGCTACTTATCCTGTTTCCACATCAACGATGACTATGAAACTATTAGTATTGAAAGTAAGGACAGCGGCTGCATACTATGCATCAGACAGACGCGTGCGTTCTCCAGCAGGAATCAAGCGCAGCCAGAAGCACAAGCTGTTTGCGGTGTCCGATCTGACCTCTTTGCAATATTTCAAGTGAGACTCTTTCTGAGCAGCAATGAATACACTCAGATATTGCTTCTTCGCTGTACTGATTCTCAGTGTTTCACTTCCATTTGTTTTCTATGCTGTTAATTTAAATGCACAAGAATCTCTTAGGAGGCTGAACTTCTCGGTGAGTTCAACTTTAGCAGAAGCCTGTAAAGCACTTCTTGAAGACAAGGCATCCTTTCTGAAGGAGAACACTTTAAAAACATCTTTTGGAGAATCCAGTTGCCCGGAGTACATCACGCAGAACCACTACATCACCCGCGCCCTCTCGGCCGAGGAGGCTGCCTTCCCCATCGCCTACATCATGACCCTGCACAAGGAGTTTGAGACCTTCGAGCGGCTCTTCAGAGCGGTCTATATGCCCCAAAATGTCTACTGCATCCACGTGGATGCCAAGGCGCCGGCCCCATTCCAGCGGGCGGTGCAGCGCCTGGTGGGCTGCTTCCCCAACGCCTTCCTCGCCTCCCGGGCGGAGCGGGTGGTCTATGGTGGCGCCCCCCGCCTGCGGGCCGACCTCCACTGCATGAGAGACCTGCTGGGCTCGGCCGTGCCCTGGCGCTACCTGCTCAACACCTGCGGTCAGGACTTCCCCTTGAAGACAAACCGGGAGATCGTCCGGCTGCTGAAGGGTCTTGGGGGGAAGAACATCACCCCCGGGGTGCTGCCACCTCCCCACATCACCACACGCACCAAATACGTGCACAGGGAGCAATTATACTCTTTCTTTTCTTTCATGCTGCGGACATTTGTGCGCAAAGCACCTCCGCCACACAACCTGACCATCTTCTTTGGCTCCGCATACGTGGCCATCGCCCGGCCTTTTGCTGAGTTTGTGCTGCGGGACCAGCGTGCCATTGACCTGCTGGCCTGGTCCGAGGACACCTACAGCCCTGACGAGCACTTCTGGGTGACGCTCAACAGGATTCCGGGTGAGTACATCATCTTTGCTTTCTGTAGATACGTGCATGCACACCCTCACACAGAGACATATCTCCGAGGCTGTGTATTTCATTGTTTGTTTCCACAATCATCACTGTGCGCTTTCCAGTGTTGCACATTTGTGTAATACGTTTTTGTGCTTGTTCTCTTTGCATCTGAAAGAGGAATCCAAAAAAGATGAAACATTTCCACAGCAGATATGTTTCCTTCCTCTTCCTTTATACTCTGCCATTACTTTAGGGTGGACAAAAGTGGCCACGCAGCTCTGATAGATGTACTCAGTGCTGCTGTTGTCCAGGATTTTGAATCCAAACTTGTAAACATAGCTTGGAGTATCTCACCTGAATGTATCTGAGTCAAATCCAGAGCACTGAGCAACTCTGGGGTGAGAAGTCCCTCTGAGTGCATGGGATGGTAGCCTTGGACTTGTTTCTTGGCTCTAACAAAAATCTCTTGTCCAAATTTGGCCAAGCCACTTCCTTTTAGCTTTTTGTGCGTACACAGGGAGATAATAGTGTTAAGCAGTAGTCCAGCTGTTAGAACAAATAGTTGGAGGCCTCCAGGGAAGCAGAGAGCTCATTTAAGGACCAGTTTGGATGTACAGCATATAATGAAAGAAATAAACCAAACAGATAGTTGCTGTTTCAAACAGCTATGATAATCTCAGTTAAAATAAAAGATAAAAAAGGCTGTTTGGTCCCCAGGTCTTAAAATAGCATGCTGGTCACCCAGAGCCATGCAATGAAAACCAAGATTATTTTTTTTTTTTAGCACCCCTAAAAGCTAGGGACTTTCAATTCCCATTCAGTTGTTTTTCAAATAAGTCTTAACTTATCTTTGGTATTTATCTCAGGCTACTTATCTCCCACATGACTCCTGGGTGACAGAAAATCCTTAAAAGTCACTTTTCAGATGAGGAAGAGGAGCATGGAGAAAATAAGGGAAAGTATTTACAAAGCATGTAGGCCTGAAGCGACTGGCCCTAAATTACTTCCCCCAGGTTGCACAAGAAGGACACACCACCACAGTACAGGTTAGTGGCCATGTCCCAGGCCAGCAGTGTGACCACTGGGCCACCTTTCCCCTCTCTGCTCACATAGAGCAGAAAGGAGGTTCTGGTCCCCACGGGAGAGGTGTGCATCCACAGTCCATGCTACTGAATCCTCCAGGGCAGCCTTATTGAATCCTCTTGTCCACACTTTCATGGGATAGGGTCACAGCATATGCATGACGTGGGATACAGGCAGTCTTGGGTGATAATCCCTCAGGGTACACACCAATATGTACATTGACATACATATACATTGGTCCATTAGTAACTTACACATTGTGCAAGTGGGAAAATAAAGGTCAGGAGAATTAACAGCAGCACTACTCATTCAGAGACACCAACACGCTTTACAAGGGAGATCAATGCTGTTACATCCCATTTACAGAATCAGGCAGAAAGGGTCAAAATGATATTCCCAGTGTCTTAAACCAGACCATGGGCTACAGCAACTTAATCATTCATAACTACTTTGGTAACCCTTCATCCCACTGTTGTTTGTAGACAGGCTCTTGGAACAACCTTCTCTGCAGCACACACACTGTATTACTATGTACAACTGCATTTCTGTTCTACCTGCTGAAATTGTTCCTTTTCCTTGTTCTAGAAAAAAAGTATTTTGTACCTTTGTCTGTTTTACTATTCATATAACTAATCCTTGTTCTATTGCTCCTATTCGCCATTATTTTGGTGAGACTTCCTGATTGAGCAAGAACTTCTCATGGGAATAAGCTATAGAAAAAATAGAGATTTTCCTGTGACTGTTATTGAGTCTCATGCCCACAAAGCTGTTGTAATCTCATAATCTTTCTTTTTGCAAGACCTGCTTAAGGGAAGGTGTGGCAACATAGTCACAGCAATGCCAAATGCACCTTATTCATGGCAGAATTTCCTGAAAAAATTACTCTTGTCCTCTATCCACTATTCAGATTTAGCTCATCTGAGAAGATATAACTTAAAATAAGGTTTAGTCTGTGCAATCTGCAGTCATTGGAGTTTAAGTACTGCTTTCAGTAGGAGTAATGCTTTGCTTCACAATCAACTGTTTGCTTCTCACTAAAACCGTATTTATGGGACAAGGAACAGTAGTTGTCAAGAAGTCTTTTTGAAAAATCACAGCTAATAAATGGAGTCGTATTCCTGAATTGCTTGATTCTCCTTCATCTCACAACTATCAGACACTGGTGTAATAGGCTTCAAACAGCAGAACGCCTTGCAAACAGAACCACATGAGAGAATTTAAGGAAGAAAGTTTTTCTTTCTAAATTCTGGTATCAGGGAATGTCTGCCACAACTCATGTATACAGCCAACTAAACTTCAGTCCAGCTGCAGTAACAGAGGCTTTTCTTGACGTTCCCAGATGCTGAGCTGCCAACAGCCTTTGTTTTTGTTAGGGGGGGAACTCCAGTCAAGCCACCTGAACCTGTCCCCTCCTTTCACATAAGAGCAAATCCATCTGACCACACCTAAAGCTGCCTTACATGTGTTGACAGACTAACACTGATGCCAGCACCCACCTGGGCAGCTGGGGTGGAAGTTGGAAGAGCCTTGCCTGAACGGGTGCTGGGGCAGGCACCAGCAGTTCTGGCAGAGCAGCTTTCCCCTTGGCTGTCCTCAGTGCCCAGCGTGTCCCCACAGGTCCAGCTCACTCCTGCGCTGGGAAGGAGGTGTCTCCTGAACAGCCCTGTAGAGTTCAGCAACTCTGATGCAGGACTGCAACCCCGCCAAAGACACTAGAGTTAGTATGTGGGTCAATGACAACTCAGAAAAACCTCCTTCGAAACATATAATCAAATGAAGCTACTAGAACTGAGACCCTTTCCCTTTTATCCATTGGATGATTCAACACAGGAGCTCTCTTGTGCCTGTCAACAGCCTGACTGCTCAAGGAGATGGCATGCATTGCCTTAATTCAGACTGCTGTCTTGAAAGAGGTAGTTCTAAATAAGCTTCTTTCTTTACTGAGTTTTATTTCCTTCTCTCCAGGTTCTGAGGTCTGCTTTAAAGCCTGACAATCTGGAGTTTATTTTAGTTATCCCCTCACTCCTCCACACATGCATTTTTGCATTCACATACCCCACTGAAATGAAAACTTATGGTGGCAAAATACAAAATTGAGCCTTTGTATGTTTTTATGGAGGGGTGGTGGGTTTTTTCCTTCATTGTTTCAATTTCATCTTGAAAGAAAACATGTTCTTCTGGGGATTCCCCCATATCTTTACCAGCCACCTCCCTCTCACGGACAGGCGGGAGAACTTGTCCTGGTCCTGGGTAACGGAGGTCTCCAGGGATGGTGGGCTTTGCAGTGTAATATGTTCAGGGATGCCATGTGCCTTTGTGCTTCACAGCAGCTGCCCTGCCCTGTGAAGGCCCAGGGACACAGCTTGGCATCCACTTGGCTTCCACCCTCTTTGGCCATATTGTCTCAGTAGTCCCATGTGTACTTCCTTGTACCATCTTGCTTCTCCAAAAGCCACCAAAGTGGTTTGTGAATTTCCAGGTCCCTCTCACACGCTGGTGGACTGCACGTCTTCACTTGCAAGGGAGAAGGCATGCACTTGCTCACCTATATGTGGACCACGCCAAGCCCTGCGTGCTTCCCAAACATATACGTGGCCCAAAGCCAGCAACAGTTATGGTTGATTGGTTGATTTCAACCAGATCTTGCAGAATAATATTCCCAAGGGTGATATGTGCACCATTACAGGCAGATTTCTGAAGTACAAACTCCTGTCTACCAGTTTATAAACTGCAGGAGAAAAACTCAGATCAGTTTGTGGCACAGAAGTGTAAAGTTGTCCCATTCCCTCGAGAGAGATGCCAACTGGGAAGCACAGGCTGCTTCAGGGGACTGGTGAAGAGTAGCTCGTTGGCAGCTAGTTTTTAACTGATGTTGGTTTGACCCTGGAATCACAGGTACAGGACTTGGAAGGTCAAAGCAAAGCAAGTTTTCCAGCCCAATGTCAATTTATGTGCATGTTACAGAAATGCCAAGGCTCATTTTGTGGATCATTTTGTGTGAGCTGAAAATGTTTGTCTTCGTAATACACGGTAGTGATGCAAGGAGGAAAGGGAGTGGGCTGCCTCTTGGAGCCAACGCATGCAGACCAACTCTCACTGGCATTGCAATGGCAAAAAAACAGGAATGGCTTAGCAGAGAAGGAGTTTGTGTTGCCTTTGTCCTTTAGATGAGGTTCAGGCTCTGAAGCAATGTTTTTCCTGCCTCCAAACCTCTGCCACCAAGCAAAGACATGAAATTAAAGGCCTTGGAGGGGCTAGCCTATCTTTCCAGTCACTTGTGACTGTCTTCAGACCCGAGTGGTGCAGTTCTGGTGGTGGCTGTTTCTAAGATCTGCTGGTAAACTTGTTTCCAGGGTAGTGTTCAGTACTGCTGTCCACAAGGTACCTCTTCTCCCCTCCTTTTTTGGGGACAAAACTCTGCTAAACTCAATGGAGTGGAAGACAAGAGCTGGCCAAAAGTAGAGTGAGCATTTCATGCTGAAGTTTATGTTAACCTTCACCATCAGCACCACTTTTCAGACAAACTATTTCTAAGAACAGGACTCCGAAACGGCTTCCGAATCTGAAATCAGTCACTCGAGCAAATGTTGAAAGGAAAATGTGGTAAATCAATTTTTTTCCCCAGTGCTGAGCTATACTTCCCCCCACTCTTTAATTAACTTACAAAAATGCCTATTTTAGTCAATTTGGGAGATGGTGATTAATGTGAAGTCAGTAGTTTTGTATTCCTGGAAGGCACTGCCTTGCAGTGTTTTTGTGGATATCCTGGGGTCATTCCTGTTTTGTCAGTCATCTTTCTGCTTTCCCATTGTGTCAGCATTTTCCAAGTCTTTCCGCACACCACATTTACTGCCATCTGTTATGAACAGGTTTTTAATTTGGGATGGTAATGCACATCCCCCGCTATTTAAAGTGTTTATCCCCTGCCATCATTGCCTCTTTTTGTCTTTTATAAAGTGTTATCTTTAGCTTAATGCTTTCTGCTGAAGAGTTCCATTTTCTGAATTTTCCCCAGGACAAACCCACACTTTTTGGCACATTATTTCCCCAACATACAGAGGGGAAGAAATAAAGTGATGAAGTTCTGGTTATAGCTGCCATATATCTCTGCTTATGGCAAAGTTCTGTGGTGATTCTGCTGTTGGATCATTTTGCATCTGATATAAAAGTCATGACGCGGTATTGGCAAACAACCTTACTCACTAGGAAAAAGCTATCCTTAAAAACACAGAGCAAAGCAAGCACACAGAAAAACACCCTGATATTTAACCTTCCTCCCAACCAACTTCTTTAAAAAAACCCCAACCCCAAACCCCTGCAACATTATACAGTGCCTTTAGGGTCTCATTTGTCCTTCACTGTGCTTCTCTTCAAGCTCACAAGCAAAATAGTTATTGGATTATGGTAACTGTAGAGGTACTGTACTTGTTGCCACCTAGGAAAGGAACAGAAAAAAAACCAAAATAGGAACAAAATCTTACTTTGCTTTCACCTTTATTTTTCAGAAAACACCAAGGTTAGGATGATGACACACTCTCACCTACTGCTTTGGCACTGAGGGTTTCTTGCATGTACTGCAGTCGCCAGCTGAAATTGTGCTTTACAGAACTGCTGGCAATTCACCCTGCTTAGGATTGTGGTTAATCAGCAAAATAAATAGCCTGTATTCATACACATTTTAAATGAACTTACGAAAATCAGGAACATGGGCTAATTAGCCCTAAAGAAAGAGAAAGGTCAGAATTGGAGATTAAAATGTCAATTTTATTTTAGTTAAAATCATATTTGAAGGGCCTAGTTTCCCCGTGTTTGCACGGGTCCCACAACACCAAACCAGTGCTGTTATGTATTTCATCCAAGCTCTAAAAGGTTTTGCTCTCATCTCACGGTAAATTGAGGAAAAAGCTGTCTTTTCAGCATTCAGAGTTAATACAAATGACAGATAATAATACAAATGTTATGAAGATGTTTTCATAAAAAGCTGCATGGTTCCCTCCCTGCCATTCGTACAAGTGGTTCCTTTAAAAGGCAAACAGGAGGAAGTAGGAATACCAGGCTTTAAATGTCCCTATTATCAGTCTTTTCCTCTGCTTTCGGCTTCGTTAGGAGAAAGCAGAAATAACGTGTGCGTTTTTGTACTTGCTGGCATGCACGTTGGCTCCCCACATGTTGCCTGTTCTGCTTTTTGTTAGCTCAGGTACAACATTGGTCGTGGGTTGCTGCACAGGAAAGAATAAAAGATGGTTAGTTTTTTCCAAGCAGGCAAACTTATATATAAGCGTTTGTGCTACAGGGAGAAACTAGGGCTTTTCCAGCTTTTCTTAGCGAAGTGGTTTGTACATTGGGTGGCAGTTACACAGTCTGTATCACTGTTTTGTTCTTCAACAGCCGATTGAGCCAATAAGAGAGAGAAAATTTGCTGAAAGGGATGAGTTAATAGAAAGCTTTTATTATTTTATACCTTTGCTTCCCCCCCCCCATATATTCTGAAGACAGTTTTAGGAAGTACTTCAATAACCTTCCTTCACTAAATTGTGTATGATACTGCAGCACAGATCAGGCACGGGTGTTTCCCTAGCTGTACTCACCTGACCAGCTCTTGCTTGCAAAGGCAAAGACTTCATCCCATGGCAATAGTCTGTTATAGTTACTGCCTTGTGCCAAAGATACTGAAGTTCCCTTTGTTGTCTCAGAAGCAGAGGTGGTCGCCCGGTGTGCAATAAGCCCATGCACACACAGAGCTGAGACATTGTTTATCGCATGTTGGTGCAGAGATGGGTGCTAGGTGGTGATTCCACTAAGCTGGCACACCCAGTTTCAGTCACATTGTGCATTTATACACTTAAAATGTTAGTGCCACATCCTTCTAATGATAATTGGTTAGTTTTTATCTCTTCTTAATTGCAGTTGGTGAGTTCTTTTCTCGCTTCGATTTAAAAACACAGTGTTCCTTAAATTTACTACTCGTGCTTGGTAAGTGGGGGTCTTAATTCAGAAGGGTTGTCCCAACACTTGGAGGTGTGATTTTTTGGTATTATAATTATATTAAAATGAGAATAGGTCACTCTTGGACAGTGCTAATCATTAACTTGGCTAACTACTCCAAACATCCAGATTATTATCCAGGATGTTCCTATCTTCAAGGATAAATCTATAAACCCTTAGGTGATTAAAAAGTTTTTCTCAACAGTCCCAAGGGCACTCTTCCTAATCCACACAGAGAGCACATATTTGTTACGTAAGCTTCTAACTTAACTTGCAACACCTTGGCTCACAGCAGTTGCCAACACATTGCACACATGTTGCCTGTTTACTCTTCAGCACATACCAAACACTCTGTGTTCAGAGTTTAATTACTTAGAATGGATGTTTGCCAGGTTATAGCAAAGCTTGATCATTTAGTAATGAGGAGAGGTCCTCTTACCAATTTATCTCCTAGACAGGCCCTGTGATCTGCCTACACTCTTATATTACTATATAACATTATAGGCTATCATTGAGTTTCAACAACTCCTTCCAGTCATATGATGTTTGAATTTTTTCTGTCAGCCTCTTTTCTTAAACAAACAAACAAAAAAAAAGTATTTACCACTAAGTCTATGAGAAGGTAGTAGGTCTTGGTGGCTCAATGTTCAAATAGCCCTTGAAGGGCAGTGCTGGTTAGGAAGGTGACATGAGTGATCACACGTGCATGCAGTATCATCCTGAGGATGTTGCAAAAAAGGGATTTTATTTCTCATGTGAAATGTTTAGGTCTCTTGGGCTGACATCTTGTTTAAGTCATGAAAGCTGCTTTCAATGAAGAAACCTGACAGCAAGGTTAGCAGCTGGGCATCTGTTGATGCATATTCCTAAGTATTTAATCCCAGTTCTGTGGAGGAAGGTCCCAGAGAGTGGACATAAGCCATCACATAGCTGCTAGAAGAACTAATTATCTGATTTTCTGTTATCTAATTGCAGGTGTCCCAGGGTCCATGCCTAATGCATCATGGGAAGGTGACCTGAAAGCAGTGAAGTGGATTGATATGGAAGAGAGCCATGGAGGTTGTCATGGTAATGTGTACATCTTTCTCCATTTCTTCTTCCTGTTTCTATAGCGAAAAATACTTGACTGTTGTCCCTGTGTTCTACAACCTCTAATCATAATGTGAGACAGACTTTACACAGTGCTTCTTTGGAGACATGAAAAAGGAGTTGTCATCTCCTTCATAGTCCATGTGTGAATGATAGTGGCCACATAAACAGTGAGAAAGGCCAGGCTGGATGAGGCTTTGAGCAACCTGGGCTAGTGGGAGGTGTCCCTGCCCATGGCAGGGGGTTGGAACTCATGATCTCTAAGGTCCCTTCCAACCCAAACCATTCTGTGATTCTATGATTCTGTGAAAGCTGCTACAGTTGCTTCTGTATCAGGAATTTTATAGAATATATCAGCCTTGAAAAGGGGGATATTTGGCAGGGCTTAGGGCTCACATGAGCTAGCTGACTATTTTCCTGAAGGCCTTGGGGGAATCTTCTTGCAAGTGGGTGGGAATATGTGTATGTCCCAGCAGTAGGGTGCAGGGCAGGTGTCCTGTGTGAAGTCAGACAAACCCCAGCTCTCAGCTTGGCACTGATGCCTGCCAGAGCCACAGCTGATGAGGAACCTAAGGAGCTGATGATGACGGTTAAGCTTTGAGGTTTCCTATGACATGACATTACCAACAGATAATCTTCTGTATGGCACACATTTTTTCAGTCACTGGTTTGCACATTGGGTACTGCTACTACTTATGACATGTCCAAGTGGGACAAGCAAGGGAATGCCAAAAATGCTAATGATACAAATTTTATTTCAAGAATTCTTAATCCATAACATAGTTGTTTGTGTTGAGGAGAAAAGTTTTGAGAACTTCAGTCAGCTTCAATCACATCAGTTTCACATCGGCATAACTACATTGAAATCAGTGAAGTTATACCAATCTCAATAATTAGTGGAACATCTGGTATGAGTAGAAGTACCGGTTTCTCTTCACTGACAGAAGAAATTCCCCTTTGCTGTGTTTCAGCCTTGTCTAAGAGAGTCTCACGTTTTAACACTTCTTTTCTGAGCTATTTTGCTCATTATTTATTCTGAAGTAACGTTCTTCATTTCATCCCATTATTCACACTTATTCCCATTGCATGTCCAGCAGGCCTTTTAGCACATTTGTTGTGTAGGAGATTATTTATAGTAGCTTTGTAGATAAAACTTCTCAAAAATAATTATTTGGATCCTTGATTCTGACATTGTTTTTTTTTTCTTTTCCTTTGGCAGGCCATTATGTCAGAGGCATTTGTGTATATGGAACAGGTGATCTCAAGTGGCTTTTCAACTCCACCTGTATGTTTGCAAATAAGTTTGAGCTCAATACATACCCTCTGACGGTGGAGTGCCTGGAGCTGAGACATCGGCAGAGAACCTTGTCCCAGAGTGAGGTTCAGGTAGAACCCAGTTGGTATTTTTAGCTAGCAAAACCCCAGGCTACATCATCAATAAAAGTGGTCAAGAGAATAGCAGCAGCAATCTTAATTTCTGCTGTGCCAGAAGCATAAACTCATGAGATGGGTTTCTTTAGGATCTTCTGTAGATGCAGTTCAGGTCAGCTTGTCTCACGCTGCCTTCAAATCTCACCTTCTACTTAAACATCAGGAGGCCAACGTGCAAAAGTTCCAAACAGAAACACCAGGGCAAAGCTCCTCTTGCAGCTGGAGGACCTTTGCACTTTTGCCATTTTTAACAGGCTGCTTTCCAGCCCTGACTTTTGGCCTGTTATACTGTCATTGCTATCTTTTTTTTATAAAAATATATACAGAGTCATGCATCCTTGGCATTTCTTGTGTCTAAAATGTGTGCATGGGTAAGCAAAAAGGTAATGAGTCACAATCAGCAAGATCTTAAAAGCAGGAACACAACTGGTGGCTGTACAGATACTGTTTTGTCAAAGATACTGATATTTACTGCAGAGAACTGATGGGAAAGTACTGGAAATGGAAGAAAGGTGCTACACTTCCCAGATCTTACCTGTTCTTTAAATACCTGTTGGGACGAGGTTTGTAAGAGAAAACAGCACCTTTTACTAGATCAGTGTGTGGTTAGAAAAATCAGATAGGCTTTCAGGCACAGGAACCTTTCTTCATGTCTGGAAAATCAAGGGCTTGCATGTTTGTCTTACTTGGCCAACTTATAGAGCTGGAAAAAAAATAAAAATAAAAAAACCAACCCTCTCTACATGCATATTTTGGCCCACCAGTGTCCTTAGATCATCACATGTTAAGGACACAGAGGGGGAGATGGAAAGCGGGTAAGGAAGTAGCAAGAGAAATATTTTCAGGCCTGAAAGAGCAGTAACTGAGCTTTGTCAATATCTCGGTAATTCTGTGTCATACTTTGATATGGCATGAGCCTTCTTCCCAAGGTTATTTCCTTTCATCTTAATATAATGGTTAACGCACATAATTAACCTTGAGGTTCCCTTCATCACAGCCCTATTTCTCTTTCTCAATAACAGCCACTAGAGGGAGGCCATCCAATATCGGAGCTGATTTTCCCTTCCCAGAGTCTTTTAGCAAACTAGATTGCAACCTGCAGCAGTTCAGAAATGACAAGACATCACATTCAGACATCCTGAAGCACAGCTGGTAACTCCCAGGGAAGGGTCTGAACAGGCAGGATCTGCCTCGGTCAGCTTATTCTGCATTTATACCTGCCAACACCTAATAATGCAGAGCCCTGCAGAAAGGCACGGGGAATTTATCTCCAGAGCAGAACTTCAGTGGAAATCCTGTTCAGTTTTTTTGGGGAGGGGAGAAAAGAGGGCTTCGCTCACTTGCTGATGTACAGGGACTGTACATCTTCAGGCAGCTGAAGAGAGAAGTAAGTCAGAGAGTTATTCTTTTAACAAGGGAGTTTTAGGGTGCCCAACTTGAGAGGTCTGGAACCAGCTGCCCCTTTGTTTTATCAAGGTGAATACTCCCCAGATGGAAATATCCCAAATACAATAAAGGCATTCTCACCATTTTATGTGAATATTTAAAGTAGCACAGAGTACAAACAAGATTATACGTAATATCTCAGACTCTACAAGCAAATGGCAAAATATCACCCATCAGCAAAAGCAATAAGCTTGGAAGTTTGAAACCACAGACAAAAAAGGGTGCGGTGCTCTGAGCTGGAACAAAAAGAAATATTTTAAGACTAGGTTGCATTACCTGCTTAAGTGAGAACCCAGAAAAACATCTCAGATGGTTAGTCTATTGAGACTTCTGTCCAGTCATTATAAGGTTGGTTTTTTGCATCAATGTTACTCCGTGTTATGTTCTTCTGGAAGTCAATTAATTTGTTTTTATTGTGTGCCTGATTTTGGGGCACAACAACTGCCTCATCAGCCTCTTCTTTTTTTTTCTTTTCAAAGAAAGAACATTACAGTTAATCGCTATCTGTGAAGTGATGTGGAAAGAAAAGAGGCAACAGAACAACTTCTGGCAGCCAAGCTCAAGAAATGCATCTGAACCAATGTGACCTAACAGTATTAGTAGTACTTGGAATAGCAGTAAAAGACAGGGAGAGATGAGAAACTGGAGAAGGTGTCTGGTAGGAAGGATGATATGGAGGGTTAGACTCCTGTGCACAACAGCAACAACAGGGATTTGGTTCAGCAA